ATTTAAAAATTCCATACCGAGATCATTCTTTCATCTTGACTACTGTTTTTATCTCCCACCTGCCCCCTCTCCCTACCAAGATAAACACGTTGGCTACCAGCTGTTCATAAAATAAAAAGCACAAATTCTTTTTTGATTCCATCAAGTTACAGGGTTTTGTGTGTGTGTGTGTGTGTGTGTGTGTGGTGTTTAAACACTTTCAAAAATGTAAATTTTTTAAAAAAGAAAACTAAGTCACTGAGATGGTTTGATTTTGGCACTTGCCCTGTAACTTTAGGCTTTTAATATCTCTGTTGGTCATAAACTGACCCTGAGTTTTTGCCCTGATGAAAATTATTTGTGCCAGAAAGCTACACGGGGTTGAAACATTCTGCCACAATAATCCCTATGGATTAGAGCATATTGAAGTCCAATTATGGGAAGCGGAATGCTTCTTTTAAACCACTGAGCCAACAAATGAGGTCATTGGATGCTGAGAGACTATGAACAGCCACGAAGGGGCTAGTTCACAAGAGATGCTAAGCTGGTTTGGGCTGACCTATCCCTTAGCTGGTGATGGGAATGTTAGCATTTATTTTTCATCAGTCCCCCTTTGCTTTTTTATTAATCCTTCCAAGTTACTGGCCACAAGATAAAAACCAACTAAAAGATGGTTGAATCTCTACACGGCGAAAACCAAGTCAATATCTGTACAGACTCTGTTTCCTTTAAAATTTTCTGCCTAAATGATTCCAAAAATGTCAATGTATTAAGCATTCTAAATAGAGAAGATTTCACGTGTCGTTTCTAAGTGAAAATTCAGAAATATTTACTTCACATCCCCCCTACCCCAAATGCTTTGAGATGGAAAATTGAATGAAAAGAAAAATGGGCAAACAAAACAAATTGGAATCATGCCTGGCTTGTTTACTTTAGGAAATCTCTTAACACACATTTTAATCAATTGAAAAGAGATGGTTCATCAGATCATAGAATTTTAGAGCTGAAAGGAGCCTCAGAGCCTTAACTCGTCCGACTCGCTCATTTTATGGATGAGGAAACTGGGACCCAGGGCGGGGAAGATGCCTTCCTAGCAGTGCACGGCTAATTAGCAGCCGGGCAGAGAATCCAAGTCTCCAAATGCCCCACCTGGTGTCTTCCACAGTCTGGACGTCTGCCTCATTTTCACACCAATTGAATGTCTCTGTATTTCTAAATGTAAAAGACCTGTGAAAGTAATTCAGTGAGCATAGGAAGAATATCTTTTTAAATCAGATGAGCATTTTCAAGTCCAGCTTCTGCATACTGACTGGCATTGGATATAAAGCTATTCTGCACAAGATGGACAATACATAACTTGCAGATTAAAGAACTGCTCAGAAGTTAATTTATTTAAACAACCTTAAACATATACATCTAACATCACATAAGGAAAAAATACTTCGGTCTAATATTAAAGAAAATAAAATCCTAAAGGTGTCCTCTCCCAAAATAAAATAAATGGTGGGACATTCACAGAATTTCCCGGGGGGGTGCTTATCAAACAGGGAGGAGAATCTACTTTATTGTCCAAACTGGATCATTTTTGAGGGTGAAAGCATTCATTATGAGTATTTTTTTTGAGGCAACAAGTGTAAACTGGCACTTTTCAGGGCAACTCGGACACACGGGTCGCTTTACATACGACATGATAAAAAGCTGACATTAACTGAGCATTTACTGAGGGCGAGGCGAGGCCTCCGGGACTTCCACATGGCAACTGGTCGAGCAGGTCAAGTCTGCAATGTTTTATTATAAGAGGCGCAAATATTATATTAAGAGGCAGAGGTGTGGGATCTCATAGTTTTCATTTTTTACAATGAAAGGTCCAGAAATCTTTTCTGTTTCTCTAGGTAGAAAGCAATAAAAGTTTTCAAGGTGTTTCTTTCCCACCCTCCAATCTCCCCTCCACCCGCAATTTCTTCCACAAAGTCCTTCTTTCTAAGACGTCTATGAGTAAGTAGCAAAATTCAAACAGGAATGTTTTGGTACTGAATATTTCTCTGACAACGGCTTCCTGGCGAGGAAGGTTTCTTTGTCCTGACAAGAGAGGTTGCTGCTGAATTTGCTTTTTCTCACTTTTAGTTAGTTTTATAATGGGGTTGTTGAAAGCAATGAACAGTTTAGAAAAATACCCTTGGTGCTGTGGAACAGGAAGCATTTCCAAAGCTTGTTCAAAATCTGATTGCATTAGCAATTTCTCCAATCTATTGTATTAGCTTTGTAATTTGCTTCTGTGACCCACAGAATCTATTGACTCAGACAGTGACTTTTTTTTTTAAAGGAAGAGAGAAAGACCTATCTCTCTTTGGAAAATACAATCTTGGAAGAACTTGGGAAGAAACAGATTTCTAGACTGGCCCGAAGGTAAGATCCAAATCTGTGCAATTTGCTTGTCATCGTCTACAGTGTAGGCAGTCGGCACATCTGCCTTGATAGCTCTTTTGGATATTAGACAGTCCTTTAAAAGTAATAGGTACAGGCTGTAATCCTAGGAGATTTTTCTTTCTAAAGGGAAGGAGAAACCCTGACATTTGAAGACAGCTATTGTGCTTACTGAACCTAGGACAAGTGTCTAGACCTTAATACCTAATGAGGCGGCCTCACGGGGAACTGGCAAAATTGTGATTTACAGAGTTCTGTCTGGTGCCAAGGGCTGTATGCTTGGCACTTAGCTAACCACTCTGCCAGGCATTCTTTGAAGATTCTCGTGATTTATCTCAATAGGGAAAGGGTTTCCTCCATGGAAAGTGAACCACCCAGTTATCAGAACCAGGACATTTGTATGCTGTTATGGGCTGAACTGGGCTCCCCTCAGAAGGATATGCTGACATCCTGAACCCCAAGACCTCAGACCTTTTTTGGACAAGTTCAACTGATGTAATTAGTGAGGGTCTTAATCGAATGTAACTTATTCAAAGGAGGAATTTGGACACAGAAGGAGGGAAGACCATGGGAAGAGATACAGGAGGAAGATGGTCATTTCCAAGTCAGAGCTACAAACTGTCTACCAGGAGAGAGGCCTGGACAAGACCCTTCCCTTGCTCCTTCGGAGAGAGCATGGCCTTGCCAACTTCTTGATTTCAGATTTCTGGGCTTCAGAACTCCCAGAATGAAATAAATGGTGGGACATTCACAGACTTTCCAAATGCCCCATTGCTGGTGTTCTGAGCCACCCAGTCGCTGGCACTTTGTTACAGCAGCTCTCACAAGCTGATACACGTGTTCTCCCATATCTCAGCAGCTGAGGACTTGCTTCTGGTGACCAGTTGTATCCTCTACTCTCTTCTCTGACTGTGGCTGGGGGAAGGCGCCCATAGAGACCAGGTCCAGGTGGGAAGTGCTCGAGTTAGAGCATCAGGCAGCTGAAACCTCTCCAGGCCTCAGAACTGAGGTAGATCCCTGGCTGTCCCCCCGTGGACAGTGGAGGGTGTCAGGGGAGGTGGCCCGTATGGTGGCTGCGATCTTACACCCCTGCAACACAGACAACAGTGGTTCTGAGCAGACTCCTTTTTCACCTTCTCTTACCCGGAGTGGTTTCCAATACGAACTCTAGTGGTGTTAATTGATGGGAGAATGATCTGTCACAGCTATTGAATAATGCACACATTGATGATTGCTTAATAACTTAAAAGCCCTTACGATGGGGTGAGGAGAAGGAAGCAAACATGCTCCACCTCCTGCTGAGGGAGAAAAAAAACCTTCATTCAAATCATTTACAGGAGGGACCCTAGAAGGGCCAGGTGAGCCCTGATCAGTAGCTTCTGCGGGGAAGTCACCTGCTTTTATTAAACTCACCACTATGCCTCTAAGTGCCACCAGAAACATAAGTCTCCTATTAGCTAGAAATAATAAAATGCTCAATAAACCCCGAATTATGAAGGCCCGGCCAGGAAACTCTCAAACGCTCCTGTTTACAGCACACCTGGTGAGTATTTTTACAGTAAAGTATAAAATCTGCCCTTTTGAAAATGGCACAGAATTGGTGGCACCGCACATTGATGCCCTTTAAGTGGTAAACTAGAGTTTGCAGAGTTTATAAACTCCTCATAAGCCTTTGCGAGAACGTAAAAGTTTAGAATAACAAGCGGGGCTTGATGAGCTGTCGAGACGGAAGCAAACAGCCTTCGTTTCCCGTCCGGAGAAGAGGACACTCCGTGTGGTGGTGGAGTTGCCTTGGCCCAGGGGCAAAAAGCTGGTAAAGAGGACTTACATCAGATGAATTCCATCTTCTCTTTGATTTCTGCTATAGAATCGAGGGCAAAATTCTAAAGAAGAAAACTCGTGTCAAAGAAGTGTTAGCAGAACCCACGCTGGCTGGCACGTCATCGCACCCAGGTGGCCATGCAGGTGTTTGCATTTCCCCTGGAGTCATGTGATTTTTTTTGTGGGCTTTTTTGATTCTGGGATCTTCCACACTCACGCCAGCCCTCCTCAAATTTCGTTCTCCGTCCTCTTCTTTTGGCCCACCTCCAATTCCTCCACAAAGTTTTCGGTCATGACCAGGGGCCCTCCCCTGCAGCATGCTGGGTAGCCATCACTCCCCAGATTCCTCTCTTTTTCCTCTCTGGAGTCCTGCTGGTCTCTCTCCAATGGCAAGTTTCCTGGAACCCTCTGTCGCAGGTTGGGTCCTGGGGAAACAAACTCTGAGATGGAGCCTGGGCGGTGCTCAGGGGGCCATCCCCATGCGGGAGTGAAGGAAGCAGGAGGGGCAGACGAAGTCGACTGTGACGCAGTCACCACAGAGCCCTCGCTGACCCCTGAGCTACCCTTCTAAGTTGTCCCAAATGGAGGCGAGGGGGCTGGGTCTCTGGGAACCCAAACAGCACCAGAAGCTGGCTGCCCTGGGGAGGGGCAAGGTCTTGGACAAGGCAACAGAAAGGAAGCAAATAGATACAACCCTACATCTTAGAATTTCAGGCGCAAGAAGAGTGACTGAGAAGGAACCACTGTCCACACAGTGCCTTAAAGCGCGTCTCTCTGTGCTCGCTTCGGCAGCACATACACTAAAATTGGAGTGAGACAGAGACGATTAGCGTGGCCCCCACACAAGGTAACACTCAAATTCGTGAAGCATTCCGTATTTTTTTAATCAATGATGTGTATGTAACAAAGCCTCGATAAGAATCCAAATGGACAGGATTCGTAGAGCTTCCAGGTTGGGGAACACCCGCTGATGCGGGGAGAGATTGGGTGCTCAGAAGGGGCTGGGAACCTTGGGGTTGCTTTCCATATACCTTGTCCTGTGCATTTCTGCCAAGTAGCTGTTCCCCAAAATGTATCTTTTTATAATAAACCAGTAATCTAATAAGTAAAAAAATTTTTAATAAAAAAATTGAATCCTACAATTAAAAATTTAAAAATAAAAGAGTATCTTATTGTTTCCTTTTACCAGCATGTTTCACATCTAAAATCTGGTTTGGTCCAAATATATACTTATATAATTTGCAAAATTATAGTAAAAAGATCTCCAAATACATATATATATATATATATATTATGATTTGTAAAATTATAGTAAAAAGATCTCCATACATATATATACATATACATACACATATATATAGTAAAATTATAGTAAAAAGATCTCCATATATATATATACATATATATATATATTATGATTTATAAAATTATAGTAGAAAGAATCTTATCCAACTGGCTCTATCCTAGCTTAAAATGTGCCACGTGAACTTTTGAGAAGAAATTAGGATGAGCTGCTTGGCTGAGGCTTTTTTTTATACTAGAATGGTGGAATTAAAATCTCCTTCTTTGAAATAAGGAAAGAATAGATTTTCATCTGTCTGAGGTAATTTAATATAACTTACCTGGAGGCAGAGGAGAATGCAGCAAATGATTCTTCTAGTCATCTCTAGCTCTATAATTATATTTTCAGAGGGGGAGAAAAAAGATTCCTGCTGCTCTGCACATTATTATACATTTTGAAGAGGCTTCAGAGTTTAATATTTGTCATTCAGCCACTTTCCTAATTTTATGTCTAATTAGGCAAGAAATTGAAGTTTCAGAAACAGTCTTGATTTGCAAATTTCCCATATGTATTTCAATTCACAAATTTAAAAAAATATATATTCCTTCTAGGCATGCAGCGCTTTGCTAGGAGGCCAGGGACAGAGGCTGGAGGAGGAGGACAGAGGCCAGTCTCGGGGTTCAGAGCCCTGTGTGGAGGGAGACACATTCACAGCCACCTGGGATGAGCTGTTAAGCTGGGGGAATTGTCATCTTTTAATGGAAACATCGAGGTGAGCTCGCTGAATTGTGTTGGATGCGGGAGGAGTGCTGGGGAAAGCTTTACAAAGAGGCGAAACTGGAACTGGGTCAAGGGAGAACAGAACCTCACTCAGGGCCCAGGAAGGAAGGAAGGAAGGAAGAAGGGAAGAAGGAGGGAGTGAAATAGGGAAGAACAAATCTGACCCCATATTAGATCTGTTCCTTTGCCTCTAATGCTGTGTTCTGTTCCTGGGCTGAGTCATGCTGGTTCTGCACTTTTTGTAAAAGAGTATCGCCAGCCTATAGCCTGAAATGTACAGGAGAGCCCGTTCTCAAGGCTCTGAGCTTTAAGGGTATAACAGTTTCCCATTCATATAAAGATAAAAGATTGTAGAATAGAAAATAACACTTGTCTTGTTGGAGGTTTGCTGGGACACCGTGACCTGACCTACATGGATACTTGCAAGAACAAAGGATTCCGACACCAAGAAGTTTGCAACAGCTTCCTCCCCTTTTTTGTACAAAAGGAGCCTGAATTCTGACTTGGTGAAGGTGGTTCTCCAGGACATCATTTCTGAATAAAGTCATTATTCCTTGTCCCAGCACCTCATCTCCTGATTGACTAGCCTATGTACCAATTGGTGAGCAGAGCAAGTTTGGACTCAGTAACAGGAGGAAAGGAGGAAGGAAGAAAGGAAGGAAAGAAAGCAAGGAGAGAGGGAGGGAGGGAGGAAAGGTTCTCAGAGCCACCTCTTCAGTGAAATCCTCCCCTGGCCCATCGTGATTAACCTTCATCCATCGAGTCTACTCTGAGGGATCTGAGATTGAAGACAGTCCCGTCATTGCTCCCCACTTGCGCTTCTGATTAAGAGGCAGCCCACAGCTTTGCACTCCCAACCTACCCAAGTGTTTGTGTGTGAGGGCTGTACTGCAGATCACAAGCTCATCGCCCCCAGTCAGGATGCTACTTCCCAGGGACCCCAGCACTACAGTCAAGTCCTATGGAGAATGCCCCACTTCTTCCAACACTGCCTTGCCTCCCTAAGCTCTAAAAACAATAGCAAAGTGTCTCTCAAGACTGCTATTCCCATAGAGATAAGTCTCTCCTCTCACCTTTCTTATTTTTCAGGATTTTGTTTAAAATATCTTATTGTAAATAACTACTAGTATTTATTTTTCTCTTTTACATGGTCAGTATAAGGCTGCAAAGGATGAATGCTTTGTGGGGTTTGTTGCAAACAGCCGCATGACCACAACCCCATGCTCAAGGTCAGCACAAGTCTCCATATGAAGGAAGTGAACTTGAACTTCAATACACTTTACTCTCTCTTGGTTTCCTGGCCACACTTACATTCTTCCAGTGCTCAGATCACCTCTCTCGCCTTCAGCTATTTGTCAGCTAATCCCTCTAAACTGTGAATTCTCCACCTGAAGATGTTGCCTACACCACAGAGACAGTTCTAACGGTGGACTCACAGGCCCTGTAACTGACATACATTGAAATTGTAGTGGCCACATGTCACAGAGGGCCAAGAGCTGCTGGGACTACACTCAGAGGACCCTCAGCCAAAATGTCCCAAATGCGGTAGCAGCCGCCTTTTCCAAACTCACAGATCCTTAAAGAGAATGTCTGGACTTCCTAACTTGTAGGTACTGATGGATGGTGGCTTTTTGACCCTGTGAGTTAACCCTGTTCCCCACCTTTCTTGGATCTCCAGATACACGGGAACCTAAGACACTGCTCCTTATTCACAGACTGAAGAGTTTCACTGGCTGTGAATTTCCTCACCCTTCTGCTTGTCCATGTCAGAGCATCAGTCTCTGTGACACTGAGCTCTTTTCCTGCTCTTCTGCATCCTCACGCCTCAAATGAGCCCACTTCCCTGTGTGCGGGATCCCACCTTGCTCCCCTCAGAACCTTGTTCCATCAAGTGCTCTCTCTCTTTTTTGTTTATATCTTCGAAGAATCCCTCTTTTGCTCGTGTGGGTCCTTCCCATCACCCAGGGATGAATCTTTTCCATCTGAACTCCTATTTTTGCCTTTCTCTTTAATTCACTGCAAATGAGCATTCTTCCTCTCCATCCTCACAGAGCTCTTCTTTCTAGCATCACCAGTGATCCTCTAATGGTCCACTTCCACGGACACTTCTCAGTCATCTTAATTTGGTTTCTTTGGTTTCCTTGCAGTATTTACCTCAGCCAATCTTTCTATCCTTAATTTTTTTCATTTGGTTTCTTCATTGAGCTCCTCGGTTTTCTTTCCAGATGTCTCTTCTTCCATAACATCCTTAAATGTTGGCATTTATTTAAATTTTGATATCATGAATCTCTCATCAGCCTTTTCTCTTGAGTCCTTTCTGGGCTGTCTCATTTACTTCCATACCTTAAAATCCACCTGTTGCCTCTAAGCCCATATCTCCCACTCAGGCATCTCTCCTATGTCCCATACATAAATGTTCTGGTGCCAAATGGGCATCTACACCAGGTCAATCCAGAATCCTCGTACTTGCTCCATCCCAAAGTGTATCTCCCCCTCTTCAACTTCTTTGCTCTCTCTCTGGTATTCCTTAAGAGGTGCCAGATACCAATCTGCACCCATGGTCCTCCTGGATTTATTCCTTTCTTCACCCCACACAGCTAATTGAATCACAAATCTCATCAATTGTACCCACCCAGGACCTCTCTTGTCCAATGCCCTCTTCCACTTTCCACTGCCACTGCCTCCATTTAGGCATCCATCACTTCTTATATGGACAATTTTTGTTGCTTCTTTTTTCTAATCTCGCCCCTCACCACCCATCCGCCATAAGCACCATCCCACCATCCACCCACCACTAATCTGATGATACCAA